CTGGAGGTTTCTTCCTGTTAAAAGGGAGTTTTTCCTTCCCACTGTCGCCAAGTGCTTGTTCACAGAGAGTTGTTTAATTGTCAGGGTTTCTCACTTTTATTGTAGTCTCTTGACCTTACAATTTAAAACGTATTGAGGAGACTGTTGCGATTTATAAAAATAAAACTGAATTGAATTGAACTGAATCTGGTCAACCAGTTGAGGCTGAGGAGAGGGGTAATAATAATAATGATAAAAACCAGTAGAATACTAGAGGTTGTCGGCAACAAATAAAACAGAATAAATTTAAGAAAACTAAAGAGACTGAAAAATACTGCATGAAAAATAAATATTGTTTTTATTGTGAGGCATGTGAATAGTGTGGATTAAAGATGCTTTATTTATAAGCATCTCGAATGGTGGAAAGAAAGCTAAGTACAGTTACTAACCTTTGAAAGTATTTTGCTTTTATCCACTTCAGTCATTTTTTTCCCCCTTCAACATTTAAGGTCGAGTAATAGAAGGCAGTGCCACTGATTTAATTTCACAACAGTGCATAAAGCTACAGTTCAAAATATTAAAGCTGTTACTCTTAATTAAGTACTAATAATCTAAAAATCTTGAGCTATAAAACACTCTAAAAGTGACCACTTACGAAAGGCTTTTAATGGAGATGTTTTATGTGTCTCGAAATAAAATTGCTATTTTTTCCCCACTAGTAACCGTGTCAATAAAATAACACAACTTTATTGCGATTTCCTGTTCAGTGATGGAACAAATCAGTTACTTGTATATAAAAAAATCTCAGACTTCAATCATGGTGGGAAGTCAGATTTCATATCCTATCACTCAGCAAACCAAATGTGACCCTATCAAAAAAATTCAGTTTGTCACTCCTCATCTCACTGCAGACTAATCCGACACATCATTCCCGGTGTCTTTGAGCGGGCTGTTTTGACTGTGCGCGTCGAGCTGATGAATGGTGGATTTTGGCTGAGAGAGAGGTGAAGCGAGCCTGCAGGCTGACGTCAGGCCGGCATGTTGAGAGATGGCACGGTTGAATGATCCCTACAGAAGGACATGCTTTGTTAAAGTTGGGACTAGGACGTGCCTCCACATGAGAGACAGCATGTGCTCTTTTTTCCAACAGATGGCAGCGCTCCGGCGACTGGAGGGAAAAGACAGAAGACAGAGTGGGAGAAGGGGGGGACAAATTGTGGGTTTTTTTCCCCCTCTTCTCCTCTCATCTTTATGACTTTTGCTTTTTATTTACCCCTAACCGCTGCCTGGGGACTGAAACGTGGCAAAACTTGTTTTTATTTGTCTCAAGACAGTGGTTTGATATCGTATCTGCCAGCGCTTTAGAGCCACGCTGGCCTGGAGTTCCACTGTTGTTAAATGTGCAGTGATTTAAAAAAAATCATCCCTCTGGTTTTCATTATAGCTTTACGGAATAGCTTCTTTAATTCCTAATGTTTTGGAAGCTTGTGACCGTTTTTTTCTGCTCTTTTTCGTTCGGTCCTGGCCGTACTGAAATCAGTCCTGTGCTGTTTCTAATTGGTGGTTTTAAAAGCACTCTGCTGGCGTGGCGCGCTCACATGACAATAAAAATGAAATATTTACTTTTGTTTTTCCTAGAGATGTGTGGGCCAGACCTCACTTGCCATTGACTGATTGAAACATTGCGCTCGCTGCAGTCATTCCACGTCAGCTTTTGTGGTGACGATTTCAGAACGAGAACATCTGTTTTGAAGAGATAAACATCATTGCAGAATCACACGGCGGTTATCTGCATATAAAGCTTGCTCTCGGTAGAGAGTTTGGGTCTTTTTGTGATTACAAGAAGGAAATGAATTCAAGGAATTCACAAGAGTAAAGTGAAACACTGAAACAACTCACAGAGTGTTCTCTTAACCGTGTAGTAACGCACATTAATGACTGCACTTGCAAGATTAGCGTAAGTAAAACACTTAGAATGAACCCTTCCATAATGATATAACTTGTAATGGTTATTGGTGAATTGTCGATATGATATTGATCATGGAGGTGAGTTCTTGACTCTGAAATCAACAGCCATATACCTAATGGTAAGTTTCCACAGGATCCATCATTTCCACGTTGAGTTTATTATCTGTGCAGCTAGCTGAGCAATTGTGGTGCAGCTGCATTTTATTTCTGAACAACAGAGCAACGAGTTGCATAATGTTGAGGTTTAAAGTACTTGACTTGCCTCTGAAAACTACATAACTTCACGATCAGCACGGATTATTTCTCATGTTGAAGGTTTTCAAGAACACTCTCTTTGCAGTGACAGAGAAAATCGGTGAAACAGCCATGGTGCTTGTTTAAGTTTGAATTTCAGGAGCAGAGAGCATACATCTATCAGATGTATTCATCCAGTCAGGTGCAATTGTAGAAGAGGCTGTAGGGCATGGCGAGTACCTGTCAGTTATATGATGTTAAACTATTTAGTGGCTCATTGAGCAAGCATCCAGGGAGCATGACCCCTTTTGTGCAAAAACGGCTGGGACATGTAGTAACAGTTTCATTAGCTTTGGCTGAAGAAAAAGAAAAATGCTGACTTAAGATTTAAAACAAAGTGATACAGAGAAGGATGATGTATATATTTAAAACTGAATGTGTAGCATGAATGACAGACCTCACATAGTTTGTTCTTTTTTTATTCTGGTTGCTGTTCCTCTAACACACGGCCACAGCTTTTCAGCTGCGTCCACACACAACAACAACAACAACAACCCCGACCTCAGGTTCCCTGCACGTTTTATACAAGGGAGGCGTGGTGAGCTGATGGAGCTCCGGTGTGTCAGGCTCCCCTGCAGCCGTGCAACAAACCACGCCCTGCCAAAGAATGAAATTGTAAATCTTATTAGTTTGTTTTTCTTTAAAAAAAATTGTTCAGTCTTCATTATTAGCAATTTATGAAATCCAACAGCGATGTTGGATTTCTTTACCTAGACGATACCATATTTAGAGGAGAAGGTGGCGTTCTACTGTAAGTCATCATCATTCCCAGGCGTTGGTTACAGATCTCTGTGTTGAGAAACCAACCAACAAAAACAGCCACAGCCCTAACTTTAAAGTTTATCAGCATTTAGATGGATAAGTTCAAAAAACAAACTTTCCTACGAACTCCTGGTACACTTTCTCGTTTCGGTCGCTCTGTCTAGCTCTCTCTGGATTCTGTCGTTTATTTGTGTGTAGGCTTTTCAGTTAGTGACAGTTTTCAAAAATGATTCTTGTGAAGGAGTTCCTCTCATGACCCCATCCAGTGTTGTCACTCCCTGGAGAATTAGTGGCAGTTTGTTGATTTTTGGCTCAAATCAGCTCACTTGGAAACGCTGCCAAAAGGGTACTAAAAGGTACCTGGTACCAGGTAGTACAACCTAATGAAAAACCCTATAAACCAAGGGTGAGTTGAGTCAAGTCGAGTCCATTGCATGCTAGTGGAAAATAGGCTATAGAGTACCAGGCTCAAAACATCTTTTGCCTCAATAGCCATCAGAAGAACTGCACTGTTTAGAACTTTTGGACTGTCTTCATTTTCCCCCTGGAGGTTAAAGCACAGAACAGCAGACTTTCATATTCTTCTTCAGTTGAGATGTGATTAAAAGGTTGCAATTGGACCTGAAGTTGAAACAATGTAATCACAGTTCAGTGTTAAAATATAAAAATCCTCAAAACTGGAGAGAGGAAATTAGATTATGATGAGTTTGCACTACAATAATAAAACCATTGCTAGAAAATGATGAAAAAAATTACTTTGAAATAATGGAAATCCCCCAAAGGGCATCAAGCTTTTTTCCAGCTTTGAAACATTAAAACCAACCCAAGTGGAGATTTGGGGGGATTTCCATGCCATCAGATGAATTACAATGTATTTCACAAGCTGCCAAAAATACTTTTTTACTTCTGGCATTAATTTAAGTTCAATCAATTTTCACTGTACGCTCTGGAGCCAATGTAAGGGATGTCTTGCCTTGGCAGTTGTGGTGGCTGAGGTGCTTAAGCGGTAGATTAAATGATTTGTACAAACCGAAAGCAGGGGCATCATGATGTCGTAGACCTGAATAAAACAAGCACTGAAGGTTAATTTAAATGTACGCTTACAGATTTTGGCTTTGTTGCTGTCTGTAGTTCAACATGTTGCCTTTGCTCTCCCTCCTGCAGGTAACACATGTCAAAATGGCCTCATGCCTGCATTGGTGCGTCCCACCCTGCCTGCTGTCCAGACCTCGCTGGCCATGAAGCAGTTTCTACCTATTCCTTTGGATACAGCCTCAGCAGTCAGCCTCTTTCCAGGATTCAACACAGTGAGTGTCATCCTTATCTCCTTGTGTCATGTGATCGGCTTGCTGGTTTTCAGATTCTCTCTGACTCCTGCTAAGGTCACAGTGAAGGACACCCTCTGTGATCTCAGCAGCAGAGACAGATTTTGTATTTCAGTGGTGTTTTTGCCATATTTGTCAGCATGTTTGTTTAAGCTGTTATTACTGCCTCAAAAAGATACAATGAGGAGCTTTTAGCTTTGAGGCAATGAGCTCCAACCTTTTTTTCCATGTCTTTTTACCAAACACTCTCTCACACAGTTGTGCATAAACCATTTAATTAGGCCGATTCTTTCAAAGCTTGAATGTGAGTTTGAAAGGAAAGGAGTATGTATAATGTGGCTGACACTTCTCTGAAAAGGCCTATGTCTTTCTATGGATTAATGAATGCTTTCTTATGCAAACATTTAGATAGAAGCCATTTACGTTGATCTCCAACCATTTCGTTGTATACCTATTATAGAACCACACATTTTGTCTTTTCTCAGTGCTCCACTAATGTGTTTCTGCATTTCTGTATGTGTGATTATTGTGATTATTGTGCACTTACTCTGCAAAGAGTTAACCTAATCTGTTTTATCTTTATGTGATTTATAGACAGCTCTGCCTTTAAGCTCCAAGTTCAAAACTCATAAAAACAGAGGTTACTTCTCTTGGAAGAATTTGTCTGCAGAGGACAACTCATCTCCTTGTTAACATTCACATCTGTTTTTATTTTTAAACCAGACGCAGACGACGATGTAGCTTACTGTAGAAAATGCTGAAAACTAGTGTGCATCCAAGCAGTGTAAAATGGCACAATCCAAAATGTGTCTTCAAAACCAGCCATTGTTTATTTTAAAAATATGGCTTCTTAAGTATTTCTTAGAGCACAGTGAGCCTGCACAAGCGTGCTTCAAGATGTACTCATGATGGTAGCAAAGGTCCGGCTGCAGAAATGTTGCAAATAATTTGGCTTCATTTTATGCGTCTGTCTTTGTCCAAATAGTTTGCTGATAATCACCAAGATGTTTCCTGGAAAGAGCTGTGTAGTTTGCTATTAATTATAGGAAAACAGACACAGTGTTCAGAGGTTACTTTTTCAGACTTGTATTTGTGAGTAATTGCTGTCAGATCGAGAGTCAATGCACAGCTGGTCAGCTGAACATCAAAAACTGTTAAATTTGTTTAGAAGCAGACAAACATGAAATTTCTCTCTAATTAGTAACTTCTTACAGAATCACTCGCAGAAAACTTCCGAGAAAATATTAAGACTTTACACTCAAAGTGTTTCCAATCGTTTTTCACATTGTCCATTTTTCACTGTGTTTGGCTCACATTCTTTCTTTGTTGTTCTTAATCAGTGCTGGCTACATCCATAACACCCCTTTGAAAGCTTCTAAAACTTCAAAGCATATAACATTTTTGACCAATGTTATATACTTGTGGACTTGTATACTGTACCTCTTTTCCAAGAAATGTTTTCAACAGTGATGAAAACAAGATAAATCTGTACTTTCATTCACTGTATGGTTTGCAGCATTATTTTGAAGCCAGATAACGGTGGTGGGTTGCAACACAACTGAAATACCACAAATTGTTACGTAGATATGTATGCATGTAGTGGACTTACCTAATGCATAAGTTAATAGGAGCGATATAACCTGAGTATATGACAAAAATCGCAAATAATTAAAATTTAAATCGAGCACCTCTTCTGTGAACATGATTTCTACTTGAGTCAAATACGGTTTTTATTGCATAAGTGGTAAAAAAACAAAAAAACAGTTCTTTAAGACGTCTTCAAAAATAGTTCTCCAGACTTCTTGAAGACTATTCTAAAACCCTTCTTTAGCATTAGCTGCCTTTTGTTCTTTTATTTTGGCAAGATGATCCCACACTGCTTCAATAATATTGATGTCCGGGCTCTGGGGAGGCCAGTCCATGATTGATAGTCTTCCATTGTGTGCTTTTCTGTTTAGGTATGCTTTTACTTCACTGACAGTGTGTTTGGGATCATTGTCATGCTGAAAAATGAAGCTATTGCCAGATACTTTCCAGATGGTATTGCATTGTTGATACTTTTTTAATGTTCGTAATTCAGTCGGTTTTGGCAAGATTTCCAAACCATGACACGCCCTTCACCATGTTTTACAGATGCTATAGACACTTGCTGTTGATGACTTGAATGAAAAATTTGATTCATCATTCTATAAGATCTGTTGCCACAGATTTTTGGCCCAGTTCTTGTGTAACTTAGCATACCTCAACCTTTTCGCCCCATTTCTTTTCTTAAAAAACAGCTTCTTGACAGCCATCCTTCTTCTGAAACCCTTTCTGATGATGCTTTGGTGAGCAGCAGATGGATCAGCTGCCGGGCCAGAAGCACCTCCCGGGTCCTGTGTCGGGTCTTTACGATTTCTTAAAGATGTGACTTTCACATACAGTTCATCTGCTGTAGTGTTTTTAGTCTTGTCACGTTGTTTGTCCTGTACCTGTTCCACAAATTTTATTAAGGACAGATACGAAGAGATGTTAAAATAAAGAATGAAGCCACTAATGTCCAAAGATAAATTTTGAAAGACCTTCAGAGAGCTTGGAGAACTATTGCAAGCTGCTTGGAGGCAAAATATAAAGACATGACAGCACAGTATTGTACATGACATTAATGTTTTCTAAAAAGTAGGAAAGAAAATCTAGATTTGGAAGCTGGAGGGTTGCTGGTGGGGTGAACCAATGTGCTTTTAACACCAGATAACAAAGTTAAAACACAGTAGTTTCCACTTCCTTGTAAAGCTGTGGTTTCCCGGTTGCCAGGGTTACACATCCCTACAAACTATATACTGCAGACACAAAATGTACCGCATGACTCTAAATTGAAAAAAAAAGTGGAGGAAAATGGATGGATGGATGGCAAAGCAATGTCGACTGTTACAAAAACATGTTATTTTGTCTCAGTGGCTCCATGGAGTTGTGGCGCTAACTAGCTGATACAACAGCGAACTCTGGCAAGAGCAATGGCAGAGGGCTCTACGTTTATTTAAATACTGAGTAGTACACAAACCAAGTCACTATAGGAACTTACTGCTCCCCAGATTTGGTATACGTAATTCCCAGATACAGGCGATTTTACTTCCTGAGGGAGTTTTCTGTTCTTATCTACATTCTCACTCAAGCTAATGCTAAGCTAGCACAGACTTACATGGACTTCCGCTATATCAGTTGTGGAGCCTTGGTCGTACGTTTTTTCCCCACCAGTTGCAAAACCTCACCAAGGGATCAAACACGCTTAGCAAATACAAAAAAATTACAGATCCCTACAAAGCACTGCCTACCTCAACCACAGATAGTGACAGGTGGTCACTATTTCTGCTGCCTGCATGTACACCTCAGAAACAAATCAGTCCCAGACCTGGAGTAAGGGTCTGTATCCACATGTGGCTCTTTGGAGAAGTTGCACATTGAATCTCATTGTACTGTGCACAGTGAAAATGAATCAGAAGACTTTATTTATCCCCAAGGGGCAATTAACAAACAAACGAGCAGTATAACGTTGAAGATAAGGACAATAAGAACAGGCAATACAGAATATACAGTATATACATTTTTTAAATTACACGGTGAATACATTCATTTCAGTTCAATTCACAAAGGAATATAATCCTTTGGTAATGTCTCTCCTTTGTCACAAAAACAGCTTATGTTGTTGCCCATACTTCTGATTGAAAGAGCCCCAGAGGCGGAAATTACGCACTGTGCCTTTAAACCAGCCTGTCTTTCACTTAGTTTGAAAGTGAAACACAGGCTCCTGATGTGAAAGGAATTGCGTAGCCTCTTGTTTTATGACAATGAATCTAGTAGCTTGTGTACAGACTTCCTACTATCTGCTAGGAATAATTCTTATCTGGATTATTATTACATCAACATAAGAAAATGCAAGAACAACTATTTCAACAATATATTGGTTCTGAAGTCAATTTTCAAGCAGAAATCCTGAAAACAAGTCATAATTTGAAATTCTATTATGATGTTAAACTGATTATCTCTGGGTTTAGGATCACCAGTAATATTTTTTGTTGCGATTGTAGGTTTAGTTTTGACAAACTAAAGCACATCAAAACCTGAACACAATATATAATTTATGCCCAGGTACTCAAAGCACTTTCTAATTTCTTCAGTGATTGTTTTGCTGTATACCTATTCTCTATATTTATCTGTTAATACTTTTCCTTTACAGCTCATCCTTTTAAACAGTAACAGTAGTAAACAGCTTTCTGGAATGCAGTGATAGCATGTGGCTGCACAGACCTTATTAGATTTGTGACCTGTGAGGAGCCACCTTCTAAATGGAGCACTCACCCAATGTGCACTTACTGTAGCAGGATGTGTACACCCGTATGGATCTATTGATTTTTCTTTTTGAAAGTAGAAAGTAATTATGAGAAAAAAAAAATGTGGCCTCACCAGCTCAAATCAACAAGGTCATCACAAAAATACATCGACTTCTGGAAGAAAAAAAAACTCAAATAGATAACCTGTCCTAATTTCTTTCTTTTCTTATTTCTCCTTGCTGCCCTTTTGAAACACCGGGATAGCTCAATTCAAAATGTGCTCGAACGAAAAGGGCTGAAATATGGAGCACAGCTGGATAAGAGTGAGGGAAAAAAAACACGAAGGGTGAAAAAAGTGGGACATTACAGAGAAAAGCCCAGATAACCCTTGGGAAGACAGATTGTTTCTGCAAGGAGAGTTTCATGAGAAAGTTCAGGAATACTGTGTCCCTTTACTCGCCCTGTCTAATCTGTATTTAACAGACTTCTCTGCAGATAATGAGTAATACACTGGGAAGCCTCCAAATGGTGGAAAGCTGATACTAGATTAACACAAAGTAATCACCTCTTGCACTCTGTCGCACAGACACACTAACACACACCACCTCAGTCTTTCAACCTTCTTCTTTTCTTTTGCGAGCTTTTGTTTCCCTCCTTGTCTCATGTTCTTTCAGA